CCTCCCAGCAGAGGGGCTCCAGCCCTCCCAGCATCTCCAGGGCCTCCTCTGGCCCCACTCCAACAGCTCCATGTCCTTGGGATGTTGGTGGCCCCAGAGCTGGAGGCAGCACTGGGGGGTGTCTCCCCAGAGCGGAGCAGAGGGGCAGAATCCCCCCCTGGCCCTGCTGCCCACGCTGCTGGGGATGCAGCACAGGGTGGGGGGGGTTTCTGGGCTGCCAGCGCACGTTGCCTGTGAATGTTGAGCTTCTCACCCACCAACGTCCCCAAGTCCTTCTCCTCAGGGCTGCCCTCCCCAGGTTTAATCCGGTAAGCCGGAGCCCCCCCGGCTCTCGGGCTGCCCCCACAACGCCCACCGCCGCCCCCGGCCACCCCCGGGCTGGATCAGCCGGGAAGGGCCGACACGCCGGGCCCCGCGCTGCGGGGCTGCCCCGCTCCCGCCCGCCCCGCTCCCTTTTCCCCGCGCTTCTCCAGGGCCCGCAGCCGCCGCGGCGGGGGTCTGGCCCGGCTTACCCGGCAGCGCGGCTCCCCGGAGCTGGCCGCAGGGAGAGGGAGGCGGCAGGGCCCGGCTGGGCCCGCCGATAAGGAGCCGCAGCTCGCCCAGCCCTCGGGCACGGCCAGGGGCTCGCCCTGCCTCACCCCTTGTCCCTGTCCCCAAAGGCCGGGGGCTCCAGAGGGACCTGGACATGCTCGAGAAGTGGGAATGGGTGAAACTCGTGAGGTTCTGCCAGGCCAAGTGCAGGGTCCTGCTCCTGGGTCGGGGCAGCCCTGGGTATGCCTCCAGGCTGGAGGGATGGAGAGCAGCCCTGAGGAGAAGGGCTCCACGCCGGAGGGCTACAGGGGAGACAGTGGGCGTTGTGGGGGCAGCCCGAGGGCTGGGCGTGGGGATTGAACCTGGGGAAGGCAGCCCTGAGGAGAAGGACTTGGAGGTGTTGGTGGGTGAGAAGCTCCACGCACCCCAGGAACGTGTGCTGGCAGCCCAGAAACCCCCCCCACCCTGTGCTGCATCCCCAGCAGCGTGGGCAGCAGGGCCAGGGGGGGATTCTGCCCCTCTGCTCCGCTCTGGGGAGACACCCCCCAGTGCTGCCTCCAGCTCTGGGGCCACCAACAGCAGAAGGGCCCCTCTGCTGGGAGGGGGGGCTGAGAGAGCTGGGGGGGTTCAGCCTGGAGAAGAGAAGGCTCTGGGGAGACCTTGGAGCCCCTTCCAGTCCCTAAAGAAAAGGGGCTCCAGGAAAGCTGGGGAGGGACTCTGGATGAGGGAGGGGAGCCCTAGGAGGAGGGGGAAGGGTTTGACCCTGCAAGAGGGGAGATGGAGCTGAGCTGTGGGGAAGAACTTGTTTGGTGTGAGGGTGGTGAGAGCCTGGCCCAGGTTGGGCCGAGAAGCTGTGGCTGCCCCATCCCTGGAGGGGTTCAAAGGGCAGGTTGGAGGGGGCTTGGAGCAACGTGGTGTGGTGGGAGGTGTCCCTGCCCAGGGCAGGGGGTGGCACTGAAAGATCTTTAAGTTCCCTCCAAACTCTAACCATTCTATGATTCTTTGACTTATATACCTCACCCACTGTCCTCCATCCCCAAAGGTGAGGGGCTTGCCTTTCCTCATGGGACCCCATTGTCCCCCATCCCCACCACCTCAGTGGTCCCCTGACCTGGCAGAGGCCCATGGGTGCAGATGCTGCCACCCTAGAGCTTTTCTCCTGTGACCTGGCAGTGGGTTGGGGCCATGAGGGTGCTGGCAAGCTTGTGAGGGTGCTGGGCAACTTGAGAGGGTTGGGATGCATTTGGAGGTGGAAAGCACTGGCCACGCAGGGGTGGGCTAGAGAAAAGGTTTGGGTGTGGGTTTTTTCTGAGTTCTGCAGAATTGGAAATAAGGTGGGGGAAGACTGGTTTCCTGGGAGCTCATGTGAAGGGAAGGAATGGGACAGCTTTATCCCTGTCTCGTCAAACCACACAGCCTCCCTCCCTGCCACTGGGCTTGCTCCTGGGGGGATCTGGGAGGGTCCATCATCTTTAGCACTTGTTCCAGGGCCGGGAAGGAGAGAGGGTCCTCTCTGGGGCTCACTTGGGGTGAGAGGTGGTGACAGGACTCAGGTCATGGACGCTGGCGGAGGGTGAGGATTCTGTGGCACCGTGCTGGTGCCAAGGGCTGGATGGGGGGAGAAGGAGGAGGCCCTTTCCTCCACCACCACACCCTGCCCGCTCTCCCCTGGCCCCCGCTGATAAAGGCAGTGGCTGTGGCTCCCCGAGGCTTCCTCCCGGGGGGAGAACATGATGGCAGGGCAGGCTCAGCCCCAGGACCTGGGTTGGTGTGGGCAATTCCACGTGCCCATGTGCAATTTACCCCGTGCAGTAGTTGTCGCTTCCCTGTAGAGGTCAGGAATGCAGCAGGAATGGGTTACCTTGCTTTTGCCGTTCTCCTGGGCTGCTGCAAACCCAGTGTGCCAGGTGGTCCATGGCTGCCCGCCATGGCCTGGCCTTACCTCTCCAGTCACACTCTGGCTTGGGGAAGGTGGAACTGCATTAAAACATTGTGTGGAGCAGAGAAATATTTATATTATCTTTGCAAAAACACACAAAGATTCGAGGGTGTGGTGATAACAAGTTTGCTGAGGCACCAATGCGTGACCAATTCTGAGTAGCTCGGTCTCCCTTCAGCTACTCTGGTGGGTCCAAGAAACTCGGAGCTGCTCTAGTTCTTGCTTTCTCCATCTGGAGAAGCTGGAGGGACAATAAGGCAGTTGAGTGTGGGGACAGTTCCCAGCCATGGGAAGAGCAGAGCTCACAGCCCACCAGCAGACCCATAGCTCAGTGGGGCTGCAGTGGAACCAGCCCCACTGCCCTCCTGGGTGTCAAGCTGGAGTCACCTCATGGTGCCCCAGGGTTGGTGGGGCTGTAAGGGGGCCTCACACGGTACTTAAAGACTTTGACACAGTTCTCCCCTGCGTCTGCCACAAAGAGGTGGCCGAAGGAGGAGCAAGCCACGCCGACGGGCCTCCTCAGCCCTGAGGACACCAGGCAGACAGGAGCCCCGTGCTCTGGGAACAAGTGGACTGTGCGACGCTGCTCGTCTGCCACCAGGATGCTGCCTTCCACGTCAACGCAGACCCCAGCTGGGTTGCCAAACTGGTGTCCGTACTTGTTGCTGAGGGAGCAGAAGAGCTTACGGCTGCTCGTGAAGACCTTGACGTCTCCACACTCCTCGCTTACCACAAAGCCTCCCTTGGGCACCGGGCTGACGTAGCGAGGTCCCTGCAGGTTGGGGACTGAGTGGATATTGAGTGTTTTGAAGGCATGGTCCAGAGCAAAGCTGTGGACTTGGCCTTGGGCATAGTCTGCTACCAAGATCTTGCCCATAGAGTCCACTCCAATACCCCTGGGGGAACCAACCTTTCTGATCTTTATCCATTCCCCCTTGGAGAGGCCGGTGTGAGGGTTGAAGACCCAGATGGCTTCATTCATCATGTCAGCTACAGCCACCATTCCCGTACGAGTCACAGTCACATCTTCTGGTAAGAAAGAGTCACTTTCCTTCCCCGTTTGCCGGCAGGGCAGGGACTGCAGCAGTTGGCCTGTGCTGCTGAGGACGTGGACCCAGGGAGCGCTCTCAGCTGTCACGTAGATGGAGCCATCCAAGGAGCAATGGATTCCACTTACTTCCCCATAGCAGCTGCCGGTGGGGTTGGGGATCCGCCGGACCAGGTCATCCTGGCAATAGTGGAGAAGGTTCTTAATGTTGTCCAGGTCTCCACACAGGCTTTTGGCCTTGTCTGCCAGCTGGTGGACTTGGTGCTGTGTCACCATGCCCATGCCGCGCTGGCTGCTCAGCAGTGGGCTGGCTGTCTGGAGCGTGGCAATGGACTTCAGCTGGAGGGTGTAGATGGTTTTCAGAAGCTTCTCCTTTTGCTGGCTGGTCTCCAGAGTGTAGTCCATGACAAACCTCTTGTTCCTGTTTGGGGTGAGCAGTAGGATCATTACTGTCCCTGCCCGCTGCCATCTCTGGGGACACACTCTGAGCTCAGGTGCTTGCTGTCTACCCAGGGTCAAGGTGAGGGTGCTAGCTTGGATTCACTCAGATGCAACAGAGACCAAAT